ACATTGATTATATATGTAAATACATTCCAAATCATATAATCATTGTTAAATACCGCATGTTATGAATTTCGGCAGTGTACATAATTTATTATTAAAAATAATTTATTGTAGTATTGCGTTTGTTATAATTATCATCTCGATTTCTAGTTGTTATTCGGCAGTGAATTTCATTGAGTATTTAAATCTCATATCTGCCCAGGTGAATCGACATTCTAGCCTTTATTTAAATTGTTCAAATAGAATGACAGGTAATGAGAATGCAATGTACCTAGAACTTAAAATAACATTTAATTTAATGATTCCTACGTGAATGTGTATAAAAATTGATATTTAATATTACTTTTATATACACCAATCGAACGAATCATTACAATGTTATTTCTTATTAGCGTCTGTTATTTAGATTAGTACATTTAATTGATTCATATTAGAACAAGCAATTAAATTAAAGTTAGGCGATGAATTGAGTTTAGTTATGGTAATTAAGATACAATCGAGAAATATAATTCATCATGTTCTTTCACTTTATTTTGACCAAAGTTGTAAGCCATACTAAACAAACTAAATACAAATAAGTTTTCATTCTACCATTATTAAAGAAGTGGGACAGAATTGAAAGCTTTACTATAAATGTGAAATACCTCGGTAAACATCTTAAAGATACGCGAAGGAACGTTTATCTGTATAAATATTAGTAAATATTTTAATGTAAAATTTACATTCTACATTCATATTGCTGGTTGTGATTCATACTGTAACTGTGAAGAAGTAGTTACCAGATAATGTATGCGTGATGGACAAACTTTAATCGGTTCGACTGGAAGCAATGTGGTTCTTCCTGTTATAATAATTAACTACATACATAGTGTTCATTTATGCACAAATTGTACATGTTAATACATTTCTTCATGCAATTTTAATTATTTAGTAGATAAAACTAAAGCCAATAGGTAGTCAGACTTCTTTTTAACGAATATTCTGAAATTCCTAAAAGGATACTATGTGATCGATAACAAATACCTGTCTTAGGAATGTAATATGCCATTGATAGTATAAAACTATAATAGAACACAGTCAAAAAAGTAATGTCGACTAGTTTTTCATTTTATTACTTTTCCATTAATTAAAGATTTCAAACGCGTATACTGAATAGTTGAAATATTGAAATATCATGACTACATCTCATTCGATCAGAACTTAAAATTGATTAGAGGATAGAAATGAAGAAGACTGAACTTTAGAAATGCTCACTATGTAGTATTTATTCTTTTTTTTGTATATTATGTTTTCCCGTTTAGAATGGAATTAACGTGTAATTTTCGATAATGTAAATAACAAAATTCGAGATAATGTAATTTTATATAATTGTAACATTATGAATACGATTCATAAATTTTTCTTAAATAGTTATACATACGTGCACCTATATGCCCAATGTCTTACGGTGATCTAATATAATTGTTACAATTGATTTAACGATAACTAGTGCTACCAGCGTATTGCACAAGGATAACTTTTTCCCAATTATTTATCGAAATAATAATTGACAATGTACATTCTGTACGTTTAGTTCTCTGTGGTGTTTTTTAAAATATTTTGTTCGCTCATATCAATTTAATGTTAAAATGTACACAACTGTTTGACGAGAATTATTTGTAAATGAAATATTAATTAATTTAGTAGAAATTTCATTTATGTTGCAAAACGTTAATGCAATCAAATTCTTCTAAGTTGCGTTAATAAAATTCAAAGAAATTGTCACGTGGACATCGCGTTTTTACTTACTCAGGAAGATTTCTCTTAGTCGAATAGTCGGTTGGTTACGCAAATTAGTGCCACACATAAGTATTGAATTTCATGATACGTAATATCACTTATAGACATCCTGCAATGTAAAATGTGCTGTGCAAGAAAATGTAATGTTTGAAAACAGGCTGTATTATTGCTTCTAGTTTGTAAAGCATTAGTAACGGTTTCAGCGATACAAGAATGGTATTGAACTTGTGTACTCACGTTATGACTAATTATTTGGAAATGTTTGATAAATTTCGTCTAGTTTGAATAAACAGTATTGATATAGAGTAAAAATTACCTTTATGCAATTTAATTATTATTAAATGAATATCGCTGATATTTGCCAAAGAGATCATGTAACGGATATCGGTACTAAAAATTCAAATATTAATCTGAATAAATGGTAGATGTTACAGAAAAATCACATGATGCAATTAACAGAAGAAATTAATTGCATCATCGTGACTTTCCTGGTTTCATTGATATTTTTTACATTCCACTTTACAACGAAGATCCAAATCTGAAATGTAATCTTTCCAAAACTAATTTCTGGTGCTATTTTTTTTTAAGTGCTATCGTCCCTGTATTACCAAGAATATTGCAATTATATAGTGTAATTATATGTAAAATTGTATTATTGAAAGGTTTTCATAACCACTGCCGTTTAAACTAACTACTATAATTACTTTGCTAAAAAAAATGAAGATTTTAATACTGCTGTCGACAAAGAATGCATTAAACAGTTCAATCAAGCACACGTTCGTAGTAGTTTGATGTCTTCTTTGAAGGATGGTAGTTTTAAGTATAGGGAGAGGATTTGTAAAAGATTCAGAAAACAAAGCAAAAGAGCATACACTGCCTTATTTATTTTACCATATAGGTAATACATTTTATTGTCATTCATTGTAGCATAATAAATTGAAGTTTCATAATGTAAACATTTTGTCTTGTATTTTACCAATCCCATTGTACTGTTTCCAGTTTCTTATTACTGTTCCAGTCTTCAATAAACATTCCTCTGAGATATCAGAATAAAATGAAAAAACAATAATTTGTTTGTAATTTCTATTTTAGTAGACAGCTCTTCCGGAGATACTGAAATGTGCCTATTATTATATATATATTACATATTTATATTATTATATATTATATATATATATTACATATTTATTATTATATATTTATATTTTTAATATATTTAAATATATATAATATAATAATTTTAAATTATGCACAAAAGCAGAAATCCGTTATTTTGGCGGATTTAAGTGATCTCGTGAAAGAAAAATTTCGAAATTGACCATTTTCAACGCATTTTTAATCCTCTGTCAGTGAAATCGGGACATTTTAATTCGCATTTCCGCTTTCGGTTAATTTACTATAGAATCAGGATTAAATCGGGGTGAGTGAGACTAAGCAGAATGGGTCAATGTATGGCGACTACGTTGGGTCGTTTCAATATAAAATATTTTTGCAATACAATGTTTTTTTTTTTCAAACCATTCAAATAGCATACAAAATATTTTTTCTACTCCCGCAATTAGAGGAGATATTTAAGTGGCCTTATTATAGGTGGACCACCCTGTATGTGTATCTGTGGTCGCAGGGAAGGGCAATCTTTGAAATCGTGACTTTTTCTTCCGGCCACAGATGTCAGCCTTACGAATCCCAAATTTGTGCATCGTCTTGCTTCGACATCAAAGATCTTTCCATTTTCAAAATTCCGACGAACTTCTGTCGTCGATTATAGACTACGAATTTTATTTATAATTTATTTATATTTTATTTTATTTATAATAAACGTAGATGATGATATTTAGAAAACTGAAAACCTTCACATAACTTTGACGACATTTTTATCATATTTTGTAAGTGACAATAAGACGTATTTAATACCATAAATACAATAAATACTGTGCTTATATACGTTAGTGACGCTCGTAGCGAAAGCATAGCGGAATACAATGCTAAATAATATATTAAACTACGCGTAGCCAGAGTGTAAAGTACCGACATCCGCTTTAACCACTTTCACCTGTTCGTCAGACACGCCCAGGTGAAATAACCCGTTGAAAACGTCTCCCTGAAACAAATACATAATACATAACCGTCATTTATACCTGAATCGATCGACCGACTGAGTGACGACCTAACACCGATTCCTGCGTACGCAGGACATCTACCGAGTGAACATAGTAAAACCATCTGCAGTTCTGCGTCGTGTCGGCCATCGTAGCTCAGAATTACAGTGCTCAACCGATAGACGCACTGCGCTTGCGCAGTCGTGCGTGGTTATATCGCGCGCGTCTATACCGATACGTACAACGAAATGTTTTTACAATATTTAATTGTTTATAACTTGTAAGAACGCTGATCGATTTCGACGAAATTTTCAGCGTACGTATAAATTGATCGAGATGTACAAAATGCAAGATGTTTAACGTTGAATTATTCAATGAAATTAAAAAGAAAAAAATATTAAGAAAATCGGTCTTTTGTACAGGCTGTCTCAAAAATTTTCGGGACACCCTGTATATTCTCGCTGCTTCGACCGACTTGAATTGTTGCAGGATATTTGTTGGTAATTGTTTAGCAAACCGGACCCTCGAACGTTTCAAAACGATTCCAGTCGCTTGGTCCAATGTTTTGGAAATAATTCCGTGTTAGTAATTGTCCCAATACATTCTCGTGCTTGTTGTATTATTAATTAATTAATTTTCGTTGCTGTAATTTTGTTGCATATAGGTTGTCATCAATCTTCACACTATGTATCGCGCGAACGTTGCGTCGAATCGCGGCTCAGCAATTCGTCTGTTTCACGTGTTTCGGATGGGCGGAACGTCGTCGGAAATTATGACACTGCATTGTGAATCGATTTGAATCGCTCGACACCGTGGCAAAAATTCCAGTGATATTCACAGAAGAACCCTCACGATGTCCTTGTACATCGTTGCGGCCGGTGTTTGAAGCGGATCACGGGCCGGCTGGAAATTCGCAAGAGCAACAAGTACATCCGTTCGTCGGGTATGCGAGAGAGAAGCACGGACGTCTTCTGTCGCGTATCATGTTCTCGGCGAAGGATTTCTCGTGCGTCGGCGGTCTCGAGAAACACATCAGGGTGGTTAAGGAGACGGTTCTGTTCCCGCTTATGTACGGCGAAGTGTACGCTAAGTTCAACTTGAAACCGCCGAGGGGCTTGCTCTTTTATGGGCCTCCTGGTAAAATAAAACGTTCTACGGTTCGTAATGAGGTACAATGTTGTGCGAAAGCGTCGTTCCCGATTGACGATCGCTGTGTCCCGCAGGCACAGGGAAGACCCTTGTCGCCAGCGCGTTGGCCGTAGAATGCAGCAATTCGGAGCGCAAGGTCTCGTTCATATCGCGCAAGGGCTCCGACTGCCTCAGCAAATGGGTTGGCGAAAGTGAAAAAAAGCTGCAGAAAATCTTCTCGATGGTGAATAGATTTCGTTAGCATTTCGTGTCCGATAAGATTGGAAAGGAACGGCTGGCTTAATTGAGTGGACACTGCGAGCCAGAGTTGGGCATATTTATTATATTTTATTCGAATAACATCTCGCTTAAATTATTGGAATAAAATTTTATTCGAATAACATCTCGCATAAATTCTTCGAATACAATTTTATTCGAATAACATCTCGCGTAAATTCTTCGAATACAATTTTATTCGAATAACATCTCGCATAAATTCTACGAATACAATTTTATTCGAATAATACCCAACTCTGAGCGTAGAACTATTGACTGTCGCCCGATGCGTATCTTATCGCACCGTCTCGTCTTACTGTTTGGGTTTTTTTAGTAACTCTCTGACGAATTTAGTAGTTTATACGGCTGAAGGGTATCGGCTGGCTGTCCTTGGAAAGTCAGCGTGGCCGTACCGCTCTCGGAGTTGGACATTATTATAATGTATGAACATTATTAAAATAAAATTTTATTCGAAGAATTTATTCGAATAAAATGTTACGGAAATTTCTAAGAAACAGTAGGTGATGCATAAATACCGCAACAATATCAAATAATTATTGCCAGATCGCTGATCTTCGGGCAAAATAAAAAGTTTCTTCGTCGATTGCAAAAACCAGGAAACAGATTTAAATATATTTCTTCCTTTAATAATTTTAACACATTGAAAACAATGTAAAAATATTTGTACAGAAATAGAAATATTAGAAATATAAATATATTATATATATTATTTATATTTATATATATATTATTATATATATATTAGAAATGTAAAATATAGAAATATTCTAAATATAGAATAGCAGTTTATTAATGCAAATAATTATTTGAAGCGAACTAATACCAACACAATTTAGTAAACGATCCACGACAATATTTTCATGTTTTATTTATTATTTTATTTATTATTATTATTATTTCAATACCATTTTATTCGACACTGCGCTGTACGAATTCGTATATCGGTTATAGGCGATTAACGCAGCATCTGATTCTCCAAACGAATCTTCCAGGCACAACAATCAAAGCCTTGCATCATTTTTTTCGACGAAGTCGACGGACTGGCACCCGTAAGATCTAGCCGACAAGACTTCGTGCACGCCAGCATCGTTTCTACACTGCTGGCCTTGATGGACGGCTTGGAGAACAATTCAGAGATCATAGTAATTGGGGCAACGAATAGAGTCGATGCTATAGATCCAGCGTTAAGGAGACCCGGCCGGTTTGATAGAGAATTATACTTTCCGCTGCCGTGCTACAAAGCGAGGAAGGAAATACTCTCGGTACCACATTACATTGTACAGGGTGTCCCAAAAATGCGGTGTCCCAATCCAAAAGTGGCGGGTTCCTCGGGTGATTCGAAGCAACTTTTTCCTTTAAAAAAATTTTCTCCGAGGCACCGTTGATGAGTTATCAACGAAAAACAGTGACCAATGAGAGGCGAGCTCGGCTGGCGCGAGGCGACCGAGCCAATGAGCGGAACCGGGCTTCGCGCGCTGGTTGGCTGGGCCGCCTCGCGTCGGCCGTACTCGATTCTTATTGGTCACTGTTTTTCGTTAATAACTCGTTAACGGTGCCTCGGAGAAAATTCTTGTAAAGGAAGAAGTTGCTTCAAATGATCCGAGGAACCCGCCATTTCCGGATTGCGAGACATTTTTGGGACACCCTG